TAAGGTATCATTGACATAAGGACAATTCACACTAAGTCAAGCTATTAAGGTATCATTGACATTAGGACAATTCACACTAAGTCAAGCTATTGAGGACAATTCACACTAAGTCAAGCTATTAAGGTATCATTGACATTAGGACAATTCACACTATGTCAAGCTATTAGGGACCATTGACATTAGGACAATTCACACTAAGTCAAGCTATTGAGGACAATTCACAAGAAGTCAAGCTATTAAAGTATCATTGACATTAGGACAATTTACACTAAGTCAAGCTATTAAGGTATCATTGACATTAGGACAATTCACACTAAGTCAAGCTATTAAGGTATCATTGACATAGGGACAATTCACACGAAGTCAAGCTATTAAGGTATCCTTGCCATTAGGACAATTCACACGAAGTCAAGCTATTAAGGTATCATTGACATAGGGACAATTCACACGAAGTCAAGCTATTAAGGTATCCTTGCCATTAGGACAATTCACACGAAGTCAAGCTATTAAGGTATCAGTGACATAAGGACAATTCACACGAAGTCAAGCTATTAAGGTATCAGTGACATAAGGACAATTCACACGAAGTCAAGCTATTAAGGTATCATTGACATTAGGACAATTCACACAAAGTCAAGCTATTAAGGTATCAGTGACATTAGGACAATTCACACTATGTCAAGCTATTAAGGTATCAGTGACATAAGGACAATTCACACGAAGTCAAGCTATTAAGGTATCAGTGACATAAGGACAATTCACACGAAGTCAAGCTATTAAGGTATCATTGACATTAGGACAATTCACACGAAGTCAAGCTATTAAGGTATCAGTGACATTAGGACAATTCACACGAAGTCAAGCTTTTAAAGTATCAGTGACATTAGGACAATTCACACGAAGTCAAGCTATTAAGGTATCCTTGCCATTAGGACAATTCACACTAAGTCAAGCTATTGAGGACAATTCACACTAAGTCAAGCTATTAAGGTATCATTGACATTAGGACAATTCACAGGAAGTCAAGCTATTAAGGTATCATTGACATTAGGACAATTCACACTATGTCAAGCTATTAAGGTATCATTGACATTAGGACAATTCACACTAAGTCAAGCTATGTTTTTTGCACGAAACTGAAACTTTGAAAACTGAAGTGGATTTGTAATAGTTTATTGACAGATATTTTAAATATCAGACACAGGGATTAGATGCTAGAATTACAATAAATGAATGAAAAATGTGTAGGTCTGTTTAACATATTTTATATAACAGTTATGCATCAACATATAATATATCATCAGTTTATAAAAGATGGATGTAATGAATTACATAATGACATCTCCATCAGTCACTTTAACTACGATCACAGAAGTACTAACCATGTATTCTTGGGGCCGATGGCGAGTTTCTAGACCACAGAATGCATTTGAAAAATAATAAAATGTAAGACTGTTCCATTTTTTTTCTCTTAATTTCTATAATAGTACTCTGATGTTATCATGTGATTACCTGTATCCATTGTTTGCACCTGTCCAAGAAAACTTGTTCCCTGCTCAGCCTTATTCTGCGACATGTAGGAATCCTCAAGTGAACACTTACATAGAATCATACACAACACATAGATTATGTCCACTTCAAAATAACATCAGGAAAGACTTATTGTTTTTCGAATGAAGCTGTCTTCAAGTTATAGTAAACAATTTGACATCACACACAATAGTCTGCTACTCAGGTGTGCTACTTTAGACACCCATTTTAATAGGTATTAAATCTCTAGATAATGATTCAGGATGATTTGATATTAGCAATGATATATTTCATCAATATATTAAATGTCATCAGACAAGATAAACGAGACAATTACACAGTATTCAGATTTGTTCCACTTTCAGATCGCATCACCGTGTTTTTAATACCCTGTACTGCTGTCATAAAATATTGTATCATTTCTAAGCGATCAAACATCTTGGAGTTGATTTAAATCTCTATCAGTTTTTTTTCCTTTTTCTGAATTAATACTCAAATGACTTCAAATCCTGTCATCATACATAAACCAGTAAATTTCCTGATAAAAACTTTCTAGGTATCACGCTTGTAAATGTTACACAGTTTGTCCAGCTGGCTCCTCATCAAGAGGACTTATATTGTACATAAGCACCATCAACTTACGTAAGTCAGATAACAATAAATACAGTACTATATGGTACAGTAACTATATTGTAATCACACCTGATTATAACTTTGGGAGTCTATAATCATTAATTCCTTGGTATATAAAGAGTTTGTAATACAGACCAAGCTCGATACTTCCTGACACACTTTTAGGTAGAAGTTAGTGACCATAAACCATCAGTATGCATTTACAGACAGGACAAACACAGGTACGAGACACAGGTAAGTACACACACCTGTGAAAACCTTACTAACGAGATTACCATCACTTTTACAGGTAGGGAGATATTCCCTTTGGGGTATAGTACCAGTTCATGTGGCCCTAATCACTCAACTACAGGTTGAACTGACAACATCAAATTTTGAAACATACATTTACTACTACAGGTAAACAGTCTGTTACAGACAGGTGTCCAAAAACACAGGTATCTCCCAATAATCTGATGTTCCTGTGAATGAACATAATACAAGAATACAAAATTAATATTTGATATTTACTATAGAAAAATAAGAGAATATGTCAAAAAAGACATTTAACAGAGAGGAAGATCTGAGAGATTGCTAAAGAGGACATTTTTTCTGCAGAGAATTACTGGAGATCACTACACCAAAGGTATTTACCATAGAGATTTATGGATCTGCCCATGGCTATGTATCACCCTAGCTGATGGAGACCCTCTCCTCCCACTAGTCACCATCAAAGCCTTAATTTTCTTGATTCATTATCGAGATAAAAAAAACATGGAAGACAAAAGGTTGTGACACATAACACAGATTTTACCATGCATGACTCTGGCCCATCTTCTCTTTGCCACAGCTGCTCAGACACTAGGTACTAATTAGTACAGTGTAGTGACCATGTCGGAAGAATGACAAAAAAACCTTCTCAGATTGACAACCTACCTAGTGTGACTGACTCAATGACTAGAAACAAAGGACTTCTCGACTGGAGCAATATATACTGACCACCATTCTAGTGTGACCAAGGTCATGTGTTGGTTTATCAAATGTTGTCAGGTCAAGTTCAAATGACCTATCTATAACGAAAACTTTCATATCTCCATTTCTTTGTTTGTCGGGTTTATCGACTTTTGAACTGCCAGGGTCATCTTGAGATATGGGGTCTCCTTATAGCAGCTGTTGGCTACCTTATTGAACAACATATGGGAGGCCTGCAACATGCCATCCAGAGAAATTAGAGTGAAATGTTTTGCTCAAAGGCACAACCACAGACAGGTTTAATTTTCTCATATAGTGACAAATAACTCTACTCGGTATTGTGATCAGTGTAAGACCAGGTAAACCATTGTATACTGACAACCTGTGTATTATGATCAATCTAAGACCAGGTAAACCATTGTATACTGACAACCTGTGTATTTAATCAATCTAAGACCAGGTAAACCGTTGTATACTGACAACCTTCTGATCAATGTAAGATCAGGTAAACCCTTGTATACTGACAACCTCTGTATTGTGACAAGGTAAACCATTGTATACTGGAAACCTCTGTATTGTGACGAGGTAAACCCTTGTATACTGACAACCTCTGTATTGTGATGAGGTAAACCATTGTATACTGACAACCTCTGTATTGTGACGAGGTAAACCCTTGTATACTGACAACCTCTGTATTGTGACGAGGTAAACCCTTGTATACTGACAACCTCTGTATTGTGACGAGGTAAACCCTTGTATACTGACAACCTCTGTATTGTGACGAGGTAAACCATTGTTTACTGACAACCTCTGCATTCTGATCAATGTAAGAACAGGTAAACCATTATATACTGACAACCTCTGTATTGTGACCAAGTAAACCCTTGTATACTGACAACCTCTGTATTCTGATCAATGTAAGACCAGGTAAACCATGGTATAATGACAACCTTCTCTATCTAATGAGAAAACAAACCATATGAAACACCTGACGAGAAAGGTATTAAAATGAAGAAATTTAAAGGTATTAAAGAACACCATCCAAGTACAGGGTTAATTCACCACTGGGATGTCCTTTTGATTATGTTTTAAACATTTTACACCTAAATTAGCATTTCAGAAGATAGCAATCTGTTAACCGCAGTAGCTAAAACAAACAACATAAAAAATATTTCATATCAACGACTACAATGGTAGTCATCAATCCGACTAATGATGTGCAAATTCCAACACTCATTTCCCCTGAAGCCATCAAGCACTTAAAAGTTTGTGGAATCCACTCTGTATAATATCCCCTCAGGTACATCCATACCAACAGCAGGTTTAATCTTTTCCATCATTTCACCGGTCGTGAGACAAATCAGGACCATTGACAGGATTTTATTGTAGATCTGAATAATACACACCAAATTACTTATGATTGTTTATCATCATTAGAGACAAGGCTTTTCAAAGAATACAATATGTAATCAGAATAATAATAGATAATCCTTCACAAGGTCTCCCAAATCACTTACTAATCCAATCCCAGTTATCAATCAGATATCTTATGGTACTTTTACTAGCACTAAACTGATTCTTTGTTGTCCAACTTAACATGACATACAAAACACAAATGAGGCTGAAAGCATCCTCATTAAAAGCACACATAGAAATTACACATAATGATTTTTTTTCAAATAATTCACATCAAACTGTTAAAAAAAATCTGATATTATCAACAGTAAAAGTCTATAATCATTTTCATTATACATGTTATTCTTAATGAGATCAGACTCATGTGTCATGATCGCAAAGTTTAAACCAATGAAAGTTTGAAATTAAACTCTATTTTAAACCAATCATGATAAAGAATATAAATTTTCATAGTTTTAACCTGAGAAAACATGTTGCCAGAGAAAAAGCATGGAGGAGGTCTAGAGGGAGATAGAGAACCTTTACACATTCTTCAGCATGGAGGAGGTCTAGAGGGAGATAGAGAACCTTTACACATTCTTCAGCATGGAGGAGGTCTAGAGGGAGATAGAGAACCTTTACACATCTTTCAGCATGGAGGAGGTGTAGAGGGAGATAGAGAACCTTTACACATCTTTCAGCATGGAGGAGGTGTAGAGGGAGATAGAGAACCTTTACACATCTTTCAGCATGGAGGAGGTCTAGAGGGAGATAGAGAACCTTTACACATCTTTCAGCATGGAGGAGATCTAGAGGGAGATAGAGAACCTTTACACATCTTTCAGCATGGAGGAGGTGTAGAGGGAGATAGAGAACCTTTACACATTCTTCAGCATGAAGGAGGTCTAGAGGGAGATAGAGAACCTTTACACATCTTTCAGCATGGAGGAGGTGTAGAGGGAGATAGAGAACCTTTACACATTCTTCAGCATGGAGGAGGTCTAGAGGGAGATAGAGAACCTTTACACATCTTTCAGCATGGAGGAGGTGTAGAGGGAGATAGAGAACCTTTACACATTCTTCAGCATGAAGGAGGTCTAGAGGGAGATAGAGAACCTTTACACATTCTTCAGCATGGAGGAGGTCTAGAGGGAGATAGAGAACCTTTACACATCTTTCAGCATGGAGGAGGTCTAGAGGGAGATAGAGAACCTTTACACATTCTTCAGCATGGAGGAGGTGTAGAGGGAGATAGAGAACCTTTACACATCTTTCAGCAAACTCATTGATAAATAAAAGTTGGTGATACTCTAAATAATAAAAATTGTTGATCTTCCCAATGAATGATGGCAAACACTTTATCTGTAAAGTGCCCTCTGGTGGTAAAATCTGGTACCACACCATAGAGGTGTGACCAATCTGCTATACCTGTCACCCAGGGCTACTTACCTGGTAAGAAATGTTTTAAGGATGTAAGGACTAGTAAACTGATAGATTTCTGTACAGGTGTGGAGTATACTATACAGACTAAACTGAGAGATCTCTGTACAGGTATTGTGTGGAGTATACTATACAGACTAAACTGATAGATCTCTGTACAGGTGTATAGTATACTATACAGACTAAACTGAGAGATCTCTGTACAGGTATTGTGTGGAGTATACTATACATCTTTCACAGACTAAACTGATAGATCTCTGTACAGGTGTATAGTATACTATACAGACTAAACTGAGAGATCTCTGTACAGGTATTGTGTGGAGTATACTATACAGACTAAACTGATAGATTTCTGTACAGGTGTGTAGTATACTATACAGACTAAACTGAGAGATCTCTGTACAGGTATTGTGTGGAGTATACTATACAGACTAAACTGATAGATCTCTGTACAGGTGTATAGTATACTATACAGACTAAACTGATAGATTTCTGTACAGGTGTGGAGTATACTATACAGACTAAACTGAGAGATCTCTGTACAGGTATTGTGTGGAGTATACTATACAGACTAAACTGATAGATCTCTGTACAGGTGTGTAGTATACTATACAGACTAAACTGATAGATCTCTGTACAGGTGTGTAGTATACTATACAGACTAAACTGATAGATCTCTGTACAGGTGTATAGTATACTATACAGACTAAACTGATAGATCTCTGTACAGGTGTGTAGTATACTATACAGACTAAACTGATAGATCTCTGTACAGGTGTGTAGTATACTATACAGACTAAACTGATAGATCTCTGTACAGGTGTGTAGTATACTATACAGACTAAACTGAGAGATCTCTGTACAGGTATTGTGCGGAGTATACTATACAGACTAAACTGATAGATCTCTGTACAGGTATTGTGCGGAGTATACTATACAGACTAAACTGATAGATCTCTGTACAGGTATTGTGTGGAGTATACTATACAGACGAAACTGATAGATCTCTGTACAGGTATTGTGTGGAGTATACTATACAGACTAAACTGATAGATCTCTGTACAGGTATTGTGTGGAGTATACTATACAGACTAAACTGATAGATTTCTGTACAGGTGTGTAGTATACTATACAGACTAAACTGATAGATCTCTGTACAGGTGTGTAGTATACTATACAGACTAAACTGATAGATCTCTGTACAGGTGTGGAGTATACTATACAGACGAAACTGATAGATCTCTGTACAGGTATTGTGTGAACTACACAGACAGGAATAACACCCCTAAACAGTAATGATGATCTCAATAACATTTTGAAAATTGCTTTTTTCATAATTAAGTGGAGAATAATAGTGGTTCATCCATAGAAAGTTTCTATAGCAGACACACAATGTATCGCATCATATATATCAAATTAAATTCATCTCACAGAGCCTATCTGTCTATTGTGGACAGATCTCTGTGTCTATATCTAGTCAATCTGTCTATAGTGGACAGCTCTCTGTGTCTATATCTAGTCAATCTGTCTATAGTGGACAGTTCTCAGTGTCTATATCTAGTCAATCTGTCTATAGTGGACAGCTCTCTGTGTCTATATCTAGTCAATCTGTCTATAGTGAACAGCTCTCTGTGTCTATATCTAGTCAATCTGTCTATAGTGGACAGCTCTCTGTGTCTATATCTAGTCAATCTGTCTATAGTGAACAGCTCTCTGTGTCTATATCTAGTCAATCTGTCTATAGTGGGCAGCTCTCAGTGTCTATATCTAGTCAATCTGTCTATAGTGGACAGCTCTCAGTGTCTATATCTAGTCAATCTGTCTATAGCAGATAGTTCTCAGTGTCTATATTTAGTTAACAGCTGTCAATGTATGAAGAGTCCTATTTATACAACATCTACACAGATATGTTTGCATATACAAAAGATAAAAAAACAAAAGGCTCATGTGAATGTTTGGTTTGGTTTAATATTGCTGAACTTTCTATCAACATCAATGTTCATTTCAGTATGTCCCTGATTTCCAGAGGCTGCTTTATATTCATGTGAGCCTCTTTGTGATATCATAGAAAAGATGCCGGCTGTATAGTGCTATCACATTGAAATATACAGCCAAATTCAACCAGCAGAATACCAAAGGTGGTCAAAGTTAACCGATAATGGGAAGACCAATCACTGTTACTAAAACAATGTTCTGCATTAAGAAGGAAGTAGTAATGACTATTTTGAAATACTTTGGTATGTCTTGGCAAGGAGATCAAATCTAAAGCCTTACTCACGGTGGCAAATGCTTAACTAAATACCAACAAGAGGCACAACGGCCTTGACAGTCACCTTAAATAAGCAATATTGAATGTAAAGGTTAAAGGATATTTATCAAGTGTCATGAAACAGAAATTGTGACACTGAATATAGACAGTCTCCTTACATGTATTCCATCAAAACTGTCATCCTATACTGATAATTCTTATCAAGTTATAACCAACATTAAGTTCAAAATTACAATATTTCTATGAAAATTACAGTAAAGTCTAAAATATAACATTCCTCACCAGGAAGAAATGTGAGACTCATTTTGGTAGTTAAAGTGCCCTAAGATGCTTCCATTCATGGAGAGTGTTTGATTCTACCATATCTGGGTCTTGAGAAAAAGATCTTTGAAATTTGAGTCAATTTGACCCCTTTTTGCCCCGCCAATCAGTCCCTGGGGTCAGTCAGGATCAAATTGGGCATACCGTAAAACTGTCATCTTTCACTCATAATTCTTACTAAGTTTGAAATATTTCCAATGGAAATTAAACAAATTATGCTCAAAAATCTAGTTTTCCTATCTAAACTAAAGTAAACTTTACCCCCTCCCCACAGGAAACTTAAGACCCTGGGGCCATGAAATTCACAATTTTGGTAAAGCACCTTAAAATGCTTCCATTCATGAAGAGCATTTGATTCTACCATATCTGGGTGTCGAGAAGAAGATTTTTGAAATCTGAGTCAATTTGACCCCTTTAGGCCCCGCCCCTCAGGCCCCTGGGGGATGGGGACTGTATAATTCACGATTTTGGTTCATCTTAGGCCAGGGAAGATTTCTGCCAGATTTCAATGAAATTGGATCAGGAGTTTTAAGAAGAAGTCGAAAATATTAGATTGCGACTTTGTCTCAGGTGACCTAAAAATTAAAGCAGCAAAATACATGAAATAAAATAAGTGAAATACATGGCTTACAGCTAGGCCTTTCTGCCTTGTTTGGTTTCAGATGACACTGAAGAAAGAAGACAGGTGGACATTTACATTACCCTAAGATATAACCTTTCCTGTTACCAACAAGTTTTTACCGCATTTAAAACTGACATGAAATCTTCTATGTAGGACAAGCTGGGAAACTGATGCTGCAGTTAGAGACAGGTTAATTACACAGTAGATACAGCTACTTATCATTACCATGTACATTAAAGTGTCACAGATAGCCACAGCCACGCAGGTGTGCACTGTCACATTCTCACCTCAGACCAAATGCTACCACTTCAATACAACAGACCCCGTTTATCACTTCTCGAACATGTCCCCAAACGTTACCAGAGTAACTTTTATTACATTTAAGAACACATTAAACTCAGTAAAGTATCTCATGGGGAATATACTATGAAAATAATTCCAACATTAACAATCGAAAATTCCCCTTCAGGTGTCAACTTTATTCTTTACCAATTATTTCAATTTCATTAATTCAAAATTCAATAAATTCAAAACAGCTTTTTTTCTTTTAAAGAATGGATTAACAAAGTTTCACTTAGTACATTTAAATGTTGACATTTATCATTTCTTACATATGAAAGTTCTTCATTCATTAAATATTTGATAACATATGCATATATTTATAATCAAATATTCAAAACAAGAGGGCCATGGCCCTTAACAGTCATCTGACAATCGATGTATGGATGGACAAACCACAGAATTGCTGATGAAAGTCTGACAAATCTGATAAATTCCCACGATTATATTTCAGTCCATGTTTGATATAAATCCATAGCATTAAGGAAGACTAGCATTTTGAAGCAAAATCATTGACTAACTTTCCCATTTAGGGGCCAACTTCCAGGTCCCTAAGGGTTAAATCAACTTTCTGAATTTAAAAATTAACTAGCCACCTCTACTGATGTTGTTACCAACGAAAATTTTATGAAATCCATTCAAGCATTACAGAAGAGAAGAGTGTTGAAGCAAAATATTGTCTAACTACCATTTTGGGGCCCATTCCCAGGTCCCTAGGGGTCATATCAAATTTCTAAATTTAACAAATGATTTCCCATTTCCAAAGATGTTTCAGATCAAATTTGGTTGAAAACTGCAAATGCGTTAAGCAGGAATAGTGTTTTAAAGTAAAAGTTTCTGTTGGTTGAAATCTGTGTATGCGTTAAGCAGGAGTAGTATTTTAAAGTAAAAGTTTCTGTTGGTTGAAATCTGCCGATGCGTTAAGCAGGAGTAGTGTTTTAAAGTAAAAGTTTCTGTTGGTTGAAATCTGCCTATGCAGTAAGCAGGAGCAGTGTTTTAAAGTAAAAGTTTATGGACGGCGAATGGCGCATGACAACGGAAGATGCTCAAAAGAAATAAGTTGTCCTGACCCTTTGGGTCAGATGACATAATAATTATCTAGTTATGGTTATGAGTTTTGAAATGATTGGAAATAGTTGTATTTTGATATCAAATTAAAGGAAGTCATTAAAAGAGTAATAATCTTAGTATATCAGTTTGAGAATAAATCTGAAACAAAATCTACAAGTATAAAGCACCTGTCATTGTAACATGTTTAATGTGTATGATTCTAGGTCTTCATGTTTTTGATTTATCAA